TGGATTCCAAACGAAGAAGAAAATAAGAAGAAGAAAGGAATTATTGGAAAAATCAGGGGCTTGTGGAAGGAATGGAGAGGATAAAAGAAGAAGTTTAAGGTCCTTTTAAGGCCACTTCTAATGCCTCGAAAAGATTTTTATTTTCAAAAATAAATTGCCATATATATTTGTGTTCAATGCCATCATGTTCTGTCACTGTGTGTCTCTATTTTCTATGTATGTATGTGTTTGTGTCTTTCCCAAGAGTAGAAGTACTAGCTACACGTATTTAGGTCAGCTAGGTCAGCTCCTTTTTACACAGTTGCCAGTGTCCAATACCGTGACGTCATACCACCTATACCATTCCTCTTGTCTCTATACAGTTCCAATGTGTACTAATACAAAATTTCCTTTGACACTTTTCCATTTGACGCCAAAAATCGTGACGCCAAAGTACCCTAGGCTGATTTTTATTGACCCTATAGTACCCCCATATACTCCATACCGAATGTGTACTTTTGATCCCAACCATTGTAAAATTTATAAATATTTGCTTATGTGTGTGTTGTGTGTGTGTGTGTGTGTGTGTGTGTGTGTGTGTGTGTGTGTGTTTAAGTTGTGCGTTCAACGATTTTTCTTCTTCAAAATATCATAGGCTATGCATGGCGGCCAGTATTGCCGGTGGAGGACGTAAGCTGGAAAAAAAAAACTCACAGACCCATGGGAAGCTACTATTAAGGTTTTCTCACATACCCACATTGACTTGAACAAACGCGAACAGAGAAAGGATGGCGATAATTGGTAGAGTCACATGCTTTAAAATACTCGGTTCTCTATAGGTCACAATAGTAATAATAGTTTTTACATATACATAGGTAAGGTAATAAGCCTTGTTCTAAAAGGTTACCTTGAGTAAAGTGATCTGCATCTGATGGAGCTGTGAAACCATTATTCAGTAATCGTTCAACTTCGACATAATCAAAATTATATTTCAATGCAAGATTTTTTTTTTCGTGGAGAGATTCTTCACGATTAATTTCTCCGTTAGGCCTTACAAACTGATCCTAATACGAATCTGAACTTTGAAATAACAACACGAATACAGGTTCACTCTTAATATTATTTCTAATTGCGTCGAATATATAATCTTTGTAAAAAAAAAAAAAAATAACTTATATCTCGGGAAATATTGTTACTGCCACAGTCCCTTCATGTACGATATGATCAATGATTGTTATAGGGGTTCCATTTTTTGTATATATCGGTTTGTACAAAATCCCTTCGGTTAGAGTTTTTACTGCTATTGGAAATTTTAATTTCGCTGATAGATGATCTTTGACTGTTTCTGTCTACACATTTAGTTTTTACTTCTTTGATCCGTTAGACCGTTTCCACGAATTGCTTTTCAAGAAATGTTCTTTAACTGACTCAACAACACAATTTATTCCACTTGACTAAGTCAACGAGGAAAATTTTATTTGTTTAAGATTATTAACGCTAGGTTTATCATATAATTAATTTATCGCATGAACAACTGCAGTTACATGATACACTGGTTCATAATGCCTTTTTATTTAATGTATTTTGGTATTTGCATACCTTCAGAAAAATAATGGTTTGAGATAATTAACGCTAGGTTTATCATATAATGGATTTATCGCATCAACAACTGCATTTACATGATAAACTCGTTCATAATACGTTTTTATTTAATGTATTATGGTATTTGCATACCTAACGTGCTGCATATAATATAACCAAGACTGCATTTTTCGAAACAAATTAGGCACAAGTTACGTTACGGTATTTACATCAAAGGGAGATAAATCTGTCATCGTCGATAGAGTAATAATGCAGTTGTCTCCCTTATGTTATTGTGTACATAACCACACATTTATATTCAGTGATATGTCTAAAACACCAAATATTGGAATCTGAAAAATCTGCATATTTTACATGATCAAGCACAAAAATCTAAATTACCTTGACAACGTCAAGGATTTTATTATTGCACGTTTGTAAGATGATATTAAATTCCGTGATGTAATCACAACAAACAGCACTATAGTAGGTTTTACATAACCGTATGTGTCAAATAGTCATTTTTTTTTTGTCTACATTTTTGCATGTGGCAAGAACTGGAATAATTTCGGTCCATGCATCATTGCTTACCATCAGCTTCGTTGTAGCGTCGAGATAATCTGTTGGTTCTCCCACGTTTTTTTATTTCATTATCGTTCGTGTTGAGACCGCCGTGCATGGTATCGCCGAATGTTGACAACGTATCATTGATTGACACTGCAGTAATACCACTAGGAACAAGTTTGTCCTCTGTGTCATATACAACAATAAGACCTTCTCGCGATAATCTACTAAGATAAATAATATCGTTGATTGAAATATTGCTCATCTTAAATTTTTCTTTACGGTTTTGAAATATAGCAAGTTCGTTTGGTTCAACGTTTGCAAGATTGAGCAGTTCAGATAATTCATCACTGATCTGCTTTTTTACTCGCTTAAGTAAGTCTTCACCTGGTGCTTGTTGAGGTTTGGTTTTAGCTGATCTTCCGTATATGATTAACGATTATTTAAAGCGGAACTCGTTTATTCATGTACAGCATCGTGAGGTGGTTTCCTTGATCTTCATACAGAATCAAGTACTGCTAGTGCTTCACGGCCACATATCGGCATGTCGATTATGTGTGTGTGTGTGTGTGTGTGTGTGTGTGTGTGTGTGTGTGTGTGTGTGTGTGTGTGTGTGTTGGTAGCGTTGAAATGATTGGTATACTTTGAAGTCTGTCGATATATTTTAAAAATTATTTTGGCGGCTCCAACTTATCCGAATTGAAATAAACGATACCACGTGGATCGATCGCGTACGCAACTCAATTTTGTACCTGGACCAGGGCTTTTATTTAGATTGCTAATACCAGTTTCAATCAGTCTTGGATGTTTTGGTACTTAATTACGATTAAAAACACCTCTGACATTTTTTTATGTTTAATCGCATAGCAGCATCGAGTAAATTAAAATTGGACAATTGGAAAATTAGCTAGTACCTAGAATTCTTAATCTGCTCCGGTATCGAGTTCCTTGAAGTATCAAACCTAGACCTGTTCGGGATCTTCTTCTTTGTTTAATCCTTTCCCTGTTGCTTTATTTAATGCCATTGCAGCAGCTGTTCCAACTGCACCTAACGCAGCTGCTATTTTAATAGCTGGGGCTGCAGCGGCTATTATTCCTGGAATAGCTGCAAGAAGTGAAAATATACTACCTGTCTTGATGGTGTCCGCAGAATGATTAACGCGTATACAGGTCTTTGATTGTTTGGCTTCATTAAAATGACTAAGCTGACCTTCTGTTAGCGATATAGTTTATTTGGAGCACCTGCGATTTGTTCTCGCTCTAGTGATATTTTTTATTTTAGATCTTTTCGCTAATGCTGACTGCAGTTTTTTAATCTGACCAGGAGTCAGACTGACCCTAACATGATGATATGACATTTATGATATATTTCTGACTTCTAAATTAACGGTTACATGTTTTCTACTGGGGAATCAATAAAACATTTGTCAACCACCACCTTCAAGTAGCATCGTCTTATCACTGAGTATAAGGCGATTGCTCTGTAATTAGCTATAGCTCCTCTTGTAACACGAGCAAGAAAATGTATATCAACGACGGACTATATAAACAAATCCATTTGTTGCAGCGAAAAATAAAAAACCGGGTACATTGTTGTAAAATCTAGCCGCCATATTTGTAAACCAGTATCAACACTTTGAAAATGTCCCATAAAAGAGATCAATCGATGATAAGCACACTCCACGTGATTTTGCTGGAAATCGAACAAAATATCCTCCTATGGTTCTTGATGTCCGTTTATTCTTAATGAAACATCGGAAACCCCAAGTTTGTCAAATGTCATAATAATACGCGTTTGATCATTTACTCGTGGGTTAACATGTTTATAAGTTCGATAAAACAGTAGCCGCAGAGACGATGAACCCTATAAATCAATGTTATGTAATATGGCGATCCAAGTAAAGAAGTGAAATAAAACTTTCATTGTGGATGCGAATAATGACTCCAACGATAGCTGAAGAAGATTGGTTACTCGATTTCATGGGCAGCGGTGGTGCTGTTCAAAGCACAATTAATTGTTTATTTTAATGGCAGATAGCATTACAACAGGGTTTATTTGTGCAGCGACATTTTTTGCTCTTGAAGATGTTGCACGAGTAAATGATCAAAATTAAATTTTTTTTCGCAGATCTTGAAGTTGTATGGTTTTTCTCCAGTATGAAAGTTCATGTGCTTGTTGAGATCAACGCTTGTATTACACAATTTATCACAAACTTCACATTTGAATGGTTTTCCTTCAGTATGTATCCTTAAGTGAACCTTCAAGTGCAGCTTAGGCGATTTCACTTTTTTCATATTATGTCGCAACCACACAAAGTCACCATCACCAAATGAACCTTGAGATCATAGGTGTTCTTACGCTTCATTGCGGTGACAAATTGCGCTCGCGCATGTCTATTGTCTTTCCAATATTCTGACATAAGGTAGAGTCTTCAGAGCCTCATAAGAATATTCACTTCCGAAAACATTTGACATCACCGCACTGAATATTTAACGCCAAAATACCGAAAGCACACAAATAGTAGCTTTTCAAATAATGGTTTGTTTACACGAGAGAGAGAGAGAGAGAGAGAGAGAGAGAGAGAGAGAGAGAGAGAGAGAGAGAGAGAGAGAGAGAGAGAGAGAGAGAGAGTGTGTGTGTGTGTGTGTGTGTGTGTGTGTGATTTGGATTTGTATCGAAGCTTTAATAATTTTTAGTCATATCGCTACGATGTCTGCTATGTGGCAGTTTAAAGTGATGTCTCGCACCGGGGCATCATGTTGCAGGCATGTAGCATTATGTCCCACTCAGTCACATTATCTTGACACGAGGTTGACCAGTCCTAACACTAATCTCTTAATGCAGCTGTTAATACCGTTATTATAAGTCTCTGGTATGACTTGGCCGTGGTTCGAACTCAGGACCAACCGCACCTGAGGCGGACGCTCTAACCACTAGGCCAGCGGAGCGGTCTACATACACGAGTGAACATGGATTGTTTACCAAGCAGTTCTAAATACAAAATAATATCTTTAGGCAAAGATATCTAACATGTGTGTACAATATAAAGGTGTTCAGTATCGTAAAATACTGCACGAATCTGGCAATCCATAGTTAACAGAGATTCAAATGAGCATATAATATCAAGGCATTCATGCTGATCCGGAAATTAAATCTGTGACCCATTTCACGGTGCTTTCTTTACATTCCATCTTCAAAAATAAATACAGTAGAAAACGAAAAGTCTACCAGAAATAACAAGATAACACAGAGAGAAAGAGAACGAAACACAAAATGCCGAAAAAGACACCAAGAACGAGAAAGAACAAGAGAGAGAGAGAGGAAAATCCTCCCAATAATGGCATCACGCCCATTCACAAAAGTTAACATTGTCAACATCAAAAAGCCAAGACGAAAACAAAAACAACAATGGGACAGGAAAATACTTTATAGCTCGGTATTAGCAAACGTGGCATACACCTAGCAATAAATAAAGTAATTTCTTCAAATACTTGGTGAGAAAGTGCATGTCATATCCTCTCCACGTTCACACTTGACAAATTTGTATTCATTTTCCCAGTATATTTTGGTACTTTGTAAAGTAGTCTAAGTGGTTAAAGCATCCGACTCAACAGAGGGAAGTCGCGGGCTCGAACCTCAGCCAAGTAATAGCAAAGACTTGTAAAACATGGTGCTAACAGCAGCCTCGCTTCGCACTCATCATTAAGATATTAGTGTTAGGACTGGTCAGCCGGGTGTCATAAATATATCGCAATAGCTTTAAATATTGGGATCCTATCAGTCTTGGAACACGCTAAATTATTCTTGAAAGTAATTGTTTTATAACCTATAAATGTTTGAATACAAAACAACAGCAATTTTGTTATGTGCTATAAGTTTTGGGACACCTTCAACATTTTTCTCTATCGATCAAGGTATTTTATTCATGTTGGAACAATCTGAAAAAAGCACATGCAAGACAATATCATAAATACAATCATTGTAGTTCATAACAGTTTCTTGAATGAACAAGATCTGCTCGCAGCTGTGTGCAGCATGTCAATATGGACAATCATGTCTAGACATTTTTTATGTCTATAGGGACACTGAAAATGCTAAACATTTTAAATGTACATAAATCTTAGGACATAAAAAAGAAATAAACTGGGTTTTCTGAGAAAAAAAAGAGTCAAATCCAATAAAAATGAGCATTACAATAAAATGTAATAAAACAAAAAGTGAATAAAAAAGAAATTTAAAACTAACACGAATAATTTAATTACATTTATGTAACAGTAAGGACTGGTCAGCCTGGATAATGCCTGAGTGGGACATGTTGCTACATATCTGTGGCATCATGTCCCAGTGCTAGACACCACTATAAACTGCCACACTGCAGACATTGTAGCGATACAGCTGAAAAATTATTAAAGCTACTTTAAATCCAAAACACATACATACTGCACAATAAAGTCTTAAATTCTTCTGCATCAATTTAGTTTTAGTTTAATTTTCTTTCTTGCTTAACTTGTACAGTATAACACATAAGGTGGGCACATACTATTCATCAATAATTCCTTGTAAATTGCCCAAACCTGCTTTGACATGTTTGCGAAGGAAATAAAATATATCTTTAATTGTGCTTGCATTGACTGCTCATTGAGTGCCTTCACATTATTTAATTGCTCTAACATTTATCACTGATAGAATATCTTTATCCACTCCAAACTTGGAGGTGGAGGAGGTTTTCGACTTGAAAAGCTTTAAATTCAAATTATTTTTCTTTTTCATTGTGAACCTCTGATATTCTAGGGTGCTCACAAATATTTATCAGCGTGTTGATTTTGATTATTGTAACAATGCTAGCACTGCTGCATTTCAATCTATTTATATTTTTAAGATCTCATTTCGTTTATTATTACTCGTGATCAAGTTGTACCATAGAACTAAGCTAAAAATTATAAGGAAATAAGAAAAGCAGAAAAATAGCTGGTTAATATCCCAATTAATTATAAAATTATTTTATAACAAAAAGTATCACAAATTATTCATAGAGTAGATGATGTCTATAGATAAATTCCGAAATGACGAAACCTTCAGGAAGTCAAACATATGCATCCAAATATCAATGAAATTTATGTGGACATAACTACAGGTTATATTGTTCGAATGTTATGATGTATAGTTTGGTGACAAACAAGAAACATTCTATTAGCAGATTCGAATGTTATGATGTATTATCCGCTTCTCTCTCTCTCTCTCTCTCTCTCTCTCTCTCTCTCTCTCTCTCTCTCTCTCTCTCACACACACACACACACACACACACACACACACAAAATAAACATTATATTATAAAGATTATGATAGTACAAATTTTTTATTAAAAAAGAGAACGTTTGAATTGTAATAGAGTTTTACTTACACGTGTCATAGTAGTAGGAGAAAGTAAGAATCCGAGCTCAACAACCCCCTCCAGACCTCCAAACAAATACAAAATACCTAGGTAACGTAATAGAAAACCTATTGCAATCAATAATTGCGTTAAGAATCCGAGCTCAACAAATACAAAATACCTAGGTAACGTAATAGATCACCTGTTGCAATCAATAATTGTGTTAAGAATCCGAGCTCAACAACCTCTCTAGACCTCCAAACAAATACAATAGAACACCTGTTGCAAAATACCTAGGTAACAGGTAAAATTTAATTACGTGATCTTTCAGAATAAGCAAAATGATGTGTCAGACTCAATTTTCCAAATCATTACGATTTAGCAGAACGTGGCGATTGTGGACTAAATTACGCATTAGAATTCCAGTAAGGTAAGTGGTATTATATAAAATTTTATGTTATATCATACTTCTTTTGATAATCTTTCTCATATTTGCTGATCCTCATGGGAAGAATATCTGTTAACATGTTGTCAATAATACGAAATTCACGTATTAAATCGTCCATACTATATTTTACTCCTCGTAGGTAAGATCTTATTTGATCAAGTAGTTTTTTGTAAGTTATAATTGATGTTAAGCAGCCGTGCTTTTTTATCAAAATTTTAGGTTCAACTTTTTTACAAGCTGCTGTAAGAGAAACACCAACACCGGATATGATTAACAAAAACGGGTTTAATGATATACCACTTGAAATTATGCCAGAACTAGTCATTAACAAGGGTAGATATGATATTACTCGAAGTATTTTGTTATAATATTTGTAGCATTTTTTTACGCACCAAAGTTTTTTATGATAATATTTGTAGTATTGTATTAGTGCGTCAACATCCTGTTCTGGAATATCTTTTGAAATATGATTGAAATCAACTATACTTTTTTTCATTATAATATTGTTCATATAATCTCAGGCTTGATTAAGTAACTAGTTGAGGTGTTTCAGCCACAAATTCCAGACAATACCAATATGACACAGCAGTTAATTTTTTGTCATCTGCTATTAGCATAAAAGTTTCTTCAACATCTTTGTTCAACACAATAGACACGGTTCCAGAGAAATTATCAGTCGAGTGACGCCATGGAAATAATGTAAATATATTAAACTTTGCACTGCTCAACACGGACAATCTATACACACCAGTGACCTCTGCAGTATGTTTGAGAGTGTTATTTTGCAGCGACCAAGTAGACATTCCAGAAGCAACAGTATAGACAATATTTTTAATCTGCTTGTGAGGAATTTTAATCATACTTGTTTTCTCAACAATACTAGGAATTCCACTAATAATATCGTTGAGTTTTGTGTTAATATTATCGAGTGTAATATCAACAGACGGTGGACTTCCAAAAAATTCGTTATTGGTTTTGTTTATGTTTCTACGAAAATTTAAAAACGTGGTGATGTGATTAGTAAAATCAGTTTTGAACTTGGTGATTTCATTGTTGATATCATCAACATATTTCTTTGTTACAGCATCAAAATCAGATTCTGGTGTTCTAAGATTATTGATGCCATTATTGTTCATGTTGAGAAATGCACGCATTATACCGCCATGCGCCGACACGTACTTTGATTCCTGATCATCAACATATTTCTTAGTAGCAGCGTCATTATCCTCAGTTGGGTTTCCAAGGTATGTGATCTTGTTCTGGTTCATAGCAATGTTTCCCGTAAATAAATCACCTGCTTTTCTAACATAATCGTTAACTGACCTACCCGAATCTTCTATCTTACCTTGATTGTTAAAAGTAACAATATTATTAGCAACTGCAGTAGGATTTCGTACTAGTACATCTGATAGTTGTACATTACTCGTCTTTAATCGTCCTTGTTTGTCCTGGAAAACTACAACTTCATTTGGATCTACACTTGCAACGTTTAACAAATTGTTGATTTCATTTTTGAGCTTATCAAGAGTCGCATACTTGGATAAGTCACCCTGGTAACCTTCTGTTAATAAATCTACTGCTAATGTTCCAAATTTTGTATAGTAGCTCATTATACATACCGTTCTACACAAAATTGTTGGATTAATATAACATAAAATTATACGATGGCGAAGATAATAAACTTTGACACCGAGCGATTGGTGAAGCATAAACATAGCAATGAACTTCCAGACTGTCATTATCTTATTGTTGGGCGAACTGGATCTGGTAAAACAAATTTGTTATTAAATCTTTTACTCAATAATAACTTTAACTATGATAAGGTGTATATTTACACCATCAACCCCCAACAAGACAAATACAAATTATTAAACGAGTATAATGATAAACTTCGTGATGAACTTGGCATTGGTGATGATATATTTTTGATAAAACAACCAGAAGAACTCGTTCCAGTGAATGAACTCGATTCGTCAGAGCAGAAGATAATCGTTTTTGATGATATTCCGCTAAACAATGAGGAAATGAACAAGATTAGATCATATTTTTCACTATCACGTAATAAAAGATGTAATTCTGTTTATCTTGCCCAAGGTTTTTATAATGTTGATAGGTTTATTAGGCGAAATACGG